GTAACTCCACGGACCTGCTCGCCTTGATGCTTTCCCTGGTAAGCTTAAGTTTTGGTAGTCTGTCTCGGCCGCCGCTGGAAGTCTGGGTCAGTTTGAATGTCTTGTGTTTGGAATGGTGGCTCTTGTGTTTAGAGCTATGGCTCCGGCTGTTAGACTCTGGTTTGCTGGGCTTCGCCTTCTTGCGTGGTCGGTATTTATAGTCAGGATACTCCTGCATATGTAACAACCTTAGTCGCTCGGCTTCCTCGACGTATGGGTGTTTTTCGTCTTCGATAAGCATTTTCCATCGTTTTCCAAGTCTCTTACTGATTTCAGCGTTATGCATGTCTGGGTGGTGCTCGCTGATTTTCCTCCTTTCGATTTGTGACCATACCATGAACGCATTCATTGGCCTCTTGATGTGACCGTTAGTTGCTTTCCAGTTGGTAGCACAGACACCGCTTGCCTCGTCACCCAACACAGAGGTACCAATATCCATCGACGAGCACGAACTACCGCTCTCAGACATCGCTGGAGAGCCGGGTCCTGAGCTGGAGTGACTACTTGCCGGTGACATAGCGCCAGTCTGTTGTGGTACCATGGCTGGAATTTACGGCGGACAGGTGACCGGCATAAAAGGACAGACTGTAAAAAACTTAGTCTGAGGTTTAAAAAAAAAGTCACTCCAGTTATTGTCACCAATCGTATACGCACGAAGCAATCTGAACTTCGTCTGTCTTACAAATTGTTGGCTTCGAAATATATGCCGCGCTCTGTGGGGGCTGATTGTATTGATAGCCAATCAGCTTCAAGGTCGAGCATTTAGCACCGCCTTCTGTTCACTGATTGGTCTAGAAGTGTAAACAACACAAGGGGGTGGGTACGTTTGTAATAGCCTCATTAGCATAAAGAAAAAAACATAGTTGGGGGCGACTGTACTGAAGTAGTAGTGTCAACTACACATGTTACCGTACTTTCCATCAGCTTTTAAGAATGATCGCTTGTTCTAACGCTGTACAATTACAAAAGTGTGTGTACGTTTCGAAATATCGCAGAACATGCCAAGCTATTTTTTTTTGTTTTCTTAAAAGTGATTACGTAAGAGGAACGGAAGTACTGCCTATTATGCGGGGCTTCTTTAAGCTCATTGTTTTCAGCGATAATTGCATTTCACGCTGCATATATTTGAATGTTCAGGAAGAGTAAGCGCCAAGAAACATTCACACCAAACCTGGGATAATTTGCATTGAAACCACGCATCATCTCCAAAGTTATAATGGGTTACGTTTTAACAAACGGGAGTTCAAAAAAAGTGTTAACTGTTCACATCACTGCTTAATGCAATTTACAGTAACATTAACAGTAGTAATAGCGTGGCCAGGCATTTAGTTCATTTGTATTTGTTTTTGTACTTTACTAAATCTAAAATAAATCCGGTGAATTGTATGTTGTACGTGGAAAACATAGCCTGGCCTTCAAACCAGACCCCCGGTACAGGTGTAGGGGGGGGGGGGGGTAGTGGCATCGCTTTATGAAGCTACCGATAGGACCACGTATTGTATTGTCAACTTGGGCGGAGTCACTTCGCGTGGCGCTTGTCAAAGCGGCGATTTGGGACAGTGATGTCCCGGTTCAGCTATTCCAAGTACATCACTTACCCCACATCATGACATCATGCCATGATACCTTACTGCCAGAGATTACAGATTAAAACATGGATATTCAATAATAACTTTGATCATACAAGCATGCACGTGTTTGTTTCATGCGATTGCACATGAAATGATACAACGACTAAATTAATATATAAAGAACACAGTAAACAAGTGTAAAACCATTGAGGTAATGATGTATCATGAGAAATAGCTAGTTTTATCGAATATGTGTGTTTTTATCGGAGTAACAGTTTTTGGTCTGCCTCTTCCCATTAATACAAGGTCGTCGGAAATGTGTTTTGGGGCTATTAATAAACGGCACCATTTTACGATATTCAACGATTTCTTCCAGCGTCAAATCACATTACTGAACGTAAAATGCAATTTTATCTACGGAAATAAAATAGTGGATATAAATAACACGGATAGCAGTCGATAGGATTGTTTGGTCACCGCTATATATACAGCAAAATGTGATGCAAAATGTGACTGACCAAATTACGGCAAAGTGACGAACCGATTTCACGACCCATCTAGGGCAAACCATGGAACTATTCGTTTATAGTTCCATGGGCAAACCGAGTCCACTGACGAACCGAATCCACTGACCCACCTTGACCATGGAGCTAGCTCCATGCCTTGACGAACCGAGATCACGACCCAACTCGGACGAACCGAGTCCACCGACTCATACTGACGAAGCAGTGAGGCAGTGTCATTACCTCGATCATGTGATGATTAGACCTTAAAATAAGGTAACTAATTTACGTAGTATGAGGGTCGACGAAATGAGCCTGAGCTTAAACGAAAATCCCCGCATAAAATGTAACGTCGCGCGCTTAGCGTTCCCACAGCAGTACTGATCAAATGTAATCCCAGACACCAAACAATGACTAATTCTGAAAGAAATATTACTTGATACTTATTATACAAGTCTGGAGGTGACGTCATATACATTTTCATATTTCATGAAGATGGGCGGATCCTATTGGGTGGATCATATATTAATTGCAATCATATAATTAAGTCGCGCATGCGCATTATTAGGTCTCGTGGAGGGAATTTATTAATGTGATTTGAGACAATTTAGGTAAATAATGTTTTGATCATATAAACATGATACACTAACATGACATTTTTTCGTGAATTATCAAAATCACAAAAATATAGGGATTTAAACTAAACAAGATATAACATTTAATTGGCACACGGCGAAATATTGGTCATCAGCAAAATGCAGTCAACTATATGTTCGGGAAAACGTGACATGAGAATCATGGACACAATTAGGCTGGGGAGGTTGCGCAAATAGCTCAACAGCCATTTTATTGGTATTAGAGTGTTCATATGAAACCTCCTTAAATAAAGTACACATACTTAGGTAAATTTGGCATCCAACAAACATACTAACGTAGTTACGAATTCACGGGAAAGTAAATATATATATATATATATATATATATTTACTCCGATATAATCGGAAATGGTCGATGAAGGCAAACAAAGTAAAAATGGAAAGTAGAAGAGGGCGACCAAATGCCCACGAATTTAAACCCCCGCACAGGTCTTTAATTTATTGAAAGCATTAGCCATTTTTGACAAAACTGTTATTTTTTTTTATTCCAGGCAGAAAAGACTTGAATGAAAACCTGTTCACAACCTGAATGTCCATATCATATGTTCAGAATAAATTGAGAAGGTGGACCTCTCGCTGAGAAAATCAACAATACATTATTTGCCCCCCAAAATTCTCAGGTATTAGGAAGGATAAGCGGCGATACCCCGTGTGGGCCCCTTATCTTTAGAATTGCAGACACACGACAGCATAATCGTACAGACATAAAGCATTGTTTTGGACACGTGGAACCCTCGATGATTGGCAGTACCCTGACTACAGCATAATTATCGCGAGGTAGTCGCGTGGCAGAGATCAAAGCTTTACAAAGTAGAGAATACCCCGATGGCGATAAAAGTAAAAACAATAGAGGCTCAAAGTTGTCGAATGTTGCATACTTTGCAAGAGTTCTCTTTAAGTTGGTATTTTCCGAGTTTTAATAATTTTGCTACCAGAACGTATTAGAACTTTATGCCACTTTGATACAAGCTCATAGTGACCTTATCGTGAAACTCGGATACGGGGTTGTGCTCGGAATCGTACGCTAGTGGCTGCCATGGCAACTGTATATTACGACGATACACGCCCATCTCACAACATCTTGAAGGACCGTTTGTTGAATGAAACTCTGGGTGAAAAAGAATTGTAAAAGAGGTACATCTAAAAGCGGGGCTAATTTAAATAACAAACTGTAGTAAAACATCTTTTCATTACGGGACAGCATAAAAAGATTGGGGGCACGGGCCGCCTTTGTAATCGCTATGAAAGGGATGACAATTGAGTCGCGTGGCAAAAGAACGCAAAAATGCACCCCTCGAAGTCCATTCAATGTGTGTTTTTATTTTGATGCAAAAGAGACACAGAATGACCTTGTATTGAAAGCGCGTGATATGCTTGTAGGTCAAGCCAACCACAACTTGTTAAAACAGCCCTTTTTATTTCAAAGTAGAAGAAGAACGCCATCCACGTGAGAGCTGTTAGTGAATGAGACCACCTAGCATAGATGTAGGAGTCTCGTTGTCTCCAGCCCTCCAAGGCCACAAATAATGGTGGATAAGCTAAGCTATTCATGAAGTTACAAACACGTTTTATAAAAAGGACTCTTTTTACAGAACTAACTATTACGAACCAAGGTCTTACTTAGATTAAGTAGATGCCAATCCACAATCATTCCCTACGTCCATGGACGAAGTAAAGTTGGCATTTAAAACAGTTGAAATTTCATGTAGTGGGACAAAACTAAGTTCAACGAACATTGGTTTGAAACCCGGTGTAACTTTCAGGACGACAGTAATATGTCGCACATAGTTTATTTTGTAAGAAAACTTTTTCGATCGTTGAAGTTAGTTTCAACACTATTAACTGTTTCACCACCAGTTCCCTCTTTTAATCACAAATTCACAAAATAGTCCTGTTTATATTCTGCACTTTTCGTCAGAGATCGGGACAAAAATAGCCAAATTTTTGGAGGGAAAACTGAAAATTGACTTGAGTACATTTCAAGATATATTGAAGATTATATAACAAAGCAGATAAATGTAGCCAAGAAAGTCTGGTGGGGAAAAAAATAAAAGTAACATCAACGTTTCGACCCAACCAATGTAGTATTAACAACAACGAATATGTGTTGTCTTTCCTATTTATATATACCAACCCAAATAGACCCAAATTGGCGAGGCCCACGCATGGTGTGATATGCCGTGATGTACATAACGATATATCAGTGACATGCACAACTCATTGCAACCCGATAGTAACACTATATGCATACAGGTGCGTTACCCAGTCACACAAGTTCGCTAAGTATCATATTGATAACGACCTTGTAGGTATACAAATAAACATTTGTTGAATCCCCGCATCGGATATCATAACTATCCGTATATACCTCTAACAACTATTGTAAAATACTTTATTTTCATTTGGAATTAATTTCCTCTATTTTCGCTGAAGGAATGATTCAGTGAAAATAAAATCCAGCGATTATATCTCTTTTCCTATATTTTACATTCAACTTGTCAAAAATCAGTGAAAATAAATTTCATACAAAACACCAAAACGTATTTTCAGCGAAAATCAATTTCAGCTAAAATAAAGTATTCTACAGTAACAATGTACGGAAAATGTTTTTGTTTTTAATGTGCTGACAGTTACATTGTTGTCAAGGTGTTTTCAAACTGTGTTAACGGAGATTCTGATGAACGATTGTATTGATACGTGATAGGGTAGTGTTAAATACTTCTCCTACTGAGCAAGAAATACAAAGATACGCTGAATCACACGACGTCCTTTAAGTACCTATCCGTTTTATTTTAAATATGGAAGTGAGCGTTAATCAACGTCCAGTTTCATTTCATTTGCCATCGTTGAACAACGCTTCCATTTCGCTTCTATAGTAGCACCAAATAATCTAACCGGACATTCACATCAGATAGAAAGCCGCCATGTTAT